GAATTCCGGAAAAGACAGGAGAAGCAAAGCTAAAAGGTGTTTCTAGTTGTGGGCAGAGATGGCAAAACCTCTCCCTCTCTTCCCCAACCGCCTCCCACCGCCCCCACCATAGCCTATGTTGGAGGAGCTCCGCAGAATTAGACTTGGCTCCATTACAGGCTCTGCCTTTTTTTTTTTTCCTTCCTGTGCAACTATAGACAAGTCAGGACGCTCGGAACTGTATCCGAACTGCAAAGGTCTTTGGCACGACCATGGAGGGAATTTCGGTGCAGAAAGTGGCAATGACTTGCCCAAACTCACTGCCCACAGCAGAACTCGAATTCAAACCCGGGTAAAACCAATCAGTCAGTTTTCACGAATAAATGGAATAACGATGTCCACACAGCATTCTTCCGGAAACTTGGAAGACCAGATGCGGGCCAAACAGCTGTGCATCACTTCCTAAAGCGCCAGAGCGTTGTGGAAGATCACTGCCAAGTAGCGATGAAGAGCCAGGACTGCAGCCCCAGCCCAAGTAGGCGCCTCAATCCTGAACCGTGGGCGCCGCCATCCAGACCCAACTCCTTACAGGAGACGCCCCCTCGGCCAGCGCGGCCCAGCCCCGGGAGGGCGTATAAGGAAGGCGGCGCGTGCATCCCGCTGCGACTCACCTGTCACCCGGGCCACGCCAGGGTGCACGCGCAGGGCCGGCGATCACGCGCAGAGTGGGCGCCCCGTTCTCACCCTTCAGTCTTCGCAAGGGTCCCCTTTTTTCCCCAGCCCCGGATCTTCTGCCGCTCGGACCCGGCTTCCGCCCCGGAGGGGCCCCTGGCCGTCACATGACCAAAGGGGCGGAGAGCTGGGCGGGGCATCATGTGACCATTTGGCGGCGACAGGTGATGACGCATGAGCGCGCGCTCGGAGTTTCAGCTGCAAGGGAAAGGAGTTAAGGAAGGAGTTGGGGTCTGGTGTGGGAAGTCGGGGTGCAGTCAGACGGATCTAGGTCGGGCAGCCAGGTAAGACAGAAGCGGGGGGTGGCGAAACGGGGGGTGGCGGGAGGTGTCGCCTCCCTCTCGCGCGCTCCGCAGCTGCCCTGAGCTGGGCTCTCTGGACCTGGGCTTTGGTCCTGGTTCTTTTCACCTTTAGCAGTGAGGCTGGGACAGTTGACCTACCTCTCCGGGACGTCATCTCTCCATCCTTCAGCCCAAGTGTGTGTGGGAAAAGATCACGAATTCTTCGTGCGGACCAATCTGGCTTGAGCTTTGAAATCAGGGCCTTGGGCAGCGCGTTTGAGTAAACACTCTGAGCCTCAATTTCCTTTTCTCGTCTGTAAGTGGTTGTGAGGATTAGCGATGAGAATGAAGTTCCCGGGCACCAGTTTATGGGCACGGGGAGCCGGAAGGGTGGTTGCCATTACAGTTTTAACTGGCCATATGTTTACTGATACCTATTTAGTGTAAGGAGCGGTTTTATATACTGGAGACTATGTCAGAGTTCTAGTTCTTGTGGCTCCCAGGGTGGAGTGGCAGACATAAGAGCAAATACTTCTGATGAGCTTTACTGAGTTTTATAATAGAAGTGTGCATGTGATTGTGATAGGCATAGTGGTAGCAGGAGGCAAGGAATGAGCGGTTGCTTGTGCGGGTAAGAGAAGTCTTCGCAAAGAAAGCTGTGTTTTGAAAAAGAAGACACAGCTCTGGCTGAACTTGGATAGGCCCCTGTAGACTTAAGGTGGTCAGCCTAGGGTCTATAAATTGTTGTGTGTCTACTACTGTGTTGTACAGGAAGATGAGAAGAGGCAACAGTAGAGAAGTGTTTTTACATTAGCTGGTAATTGGTCTTGCTTACAGAAAAATCTTACAGACCTGCTACGGCCTGAATGTTTGTGTCCCTTCCCCACCCCACATCTGCTACATTGAAATCCTGGCTCCAGTTTCTGGGTTTTAGGAGATGGGGCCTTTTGGAGGTGCTTAGGCCAGGAGGATGGAGCCCTCATGAATGGGGTTAGTGCCATTATAAAAGAGGCTCCAGAGAACTCCCTTCCCTTTCTACCTTGTGAAAACAAAAAGTAAGAAGGCATGGGCTATGACCAGGAGGAGGGCTTTCACCAGAACGTGACCATGCAGGCTCCTTGATCTTGGACTTCCCAGCCTCCAGAATTGTGAGAAATAAATGTCCATTTATAAGGCACCCAATCTGTGGTATTTTATTACAGCAGCCTGAGTGGCTCAAGACAAGGCCTGTAAGGGGAGGCACAATAACATGCTGGGGAAAAACTTGGCAAATACATAACCTTGTTTTATTATTGGAGACCGTAGGTACAGGGAACAAAAAGATTGTTGTTACTTGGGGAGGGCTCCAAGAGGAGGTTGATTTAAACCGGGATTTCTCAACCACTGCACTATTGACATTTGAGGCCAGGTAATTCTTTGCTGGGGGAGGGGGTTGTCCTATGAATTATGTACTTTGCTATACTTAGTGGGAGAAATAGGGAAAAGTGGGTCTACTTCATCTTTCCTCTCCATCCATTCTCTTAACTTCTCAGGCCGAATCTTTTCCCTTGAAAAACTCCAGAATTACAGAAGGAAATTTTCTCCAGATCTCTGCAAGTGGAAAGTTTCATTGGAGTAATGTGAATTTTGCATTCAGATAATAAGGATAGCTACCATGTGGTATACACTTTGCATTTTACTGGATTGGATTAATTCTTACATACACTGTGCCTTGGCAGTTTGAGCTGCTATAAAAAAAATACCATAGATTGGTGGCTTAAAAAACGGGAATTTATTTCTTGCATTTTTGAAGACTGGAAGTCTGAGATGAGGGTGCTGGCACATTTGTATCTGGGCCCTTGTGACTTGCAGAAGGCCCCTTTCTCACTGTGTCCTTACGTGGTAGAGAGCAAGCAAGCCATGTTGTTTCTTCCTCTTCTAATAATGACATTAATCTCATCAGGAGGGCCCCAAGCTCATGCATAACATAATCTGAACCTAAAAGCCACCTTTCCAAATATTATCCAAATACATTGGGGTTACGGCTTCAACATACATATTTTGGGGAGGACTCAATGATCTCAATGTTCTCCATACTTGTTTGGCCCTAAGGAACATTAGGATGTTCATAAAAATACACATTCCTCAGAAAGTCCTTAGTAATGCTGTGAGGTAAGTATGATTATTTCCTTTTTTACAAAGGAGCAAACTGAAGATAGAGAAGTTAAACAACTTAACCAAGGCCATACAGCCTTAAAAGGCATGGGCAGGACAGAATTTCCAGGCATCTATGTCCAGTGTCCACTTTCTTAACACTGCTCTGTATTGTTGCTCACAGCATTATAATGATGAAGTTGACGGTAATGTTCATTTCCACTTTTAAAGACTTACGTGCTTTATTATACTTGTTAACGCATTCAATTGTCACAGTAATCCTTGAGGTACACACTAGATCATTCCTATTTTACAGAAGGGAAAAGTGAAGCATTAAGAGATTAAATAACTTGATTAAAGCCATTCAGTTATTCAAGTGACAACGTCAGGCTGTGAACTCAGGAAATCTGGCTCCAGAGGCTGCAAGCTTAATCCCTACTTTATATTGCCTCCATGTTTTACTCTATCATGTAGCTAGCATTTATTTTAGTGTAAGCATGTTTCATATTACCATTAAGTAAAATTGATATTCCAGTGAGATATGCCCTGTTTATACTATGGCTTGCCCACCTCTTGCTTTCCTCCTAGTTCATAGAAATAGTATACTTTGACAATTATTTCTCCAGAACTGTGCTGTCCAGGGTAATAGCTACTAGCCACGTGTGGTTATTTCAAGTTAAGTTGATTAAATAATACTTAAAATTCAGTTCCTCAGTCATGCTAACCACATTTCTGGTAATCGATAGTCATGTGTGCCTAGTGTCCACTATATTGGAAAGTGAAGATATAGAACATTTTTGTCATGGCAGAAAGTTCTATTGGACAGCACTGTTCTAGACAATTTAGAGTAACACCCAAATCAAGACTGACTAGAAAACTGAATACTTGAACCATATCATTTGATCCTTGCAGGACTGTGTTTTATGACTAACAGTTGGTGCCATAACAAGTAAGCCCCAAATCTAAATGGCCTTGCTTTTATTTTTGGCTTTGCACAATTTAAGTTTTTATATCTTTCATGTGTGGAGCCTGATTGGTGGGCAGTGTTGCACCAAGCAGTGATATAGTATCCTAGTGATCCTCCATCTTCACTTACAGTTTCTGAGGTCACTGTGCTGCTTGTTTCCAGCTATCAAATGGGAAATATTATTGACAAAGTGTGTGGTTTTAATGGACTGAGCTTGGAAATGGCTTATATGGTTGAAGGGTAAATGAGTTTGATGGGCACAGAGCTAGTATCTGCCACAAGCATCTTGTTCTTAGCTTACCCGGAGGAATAGAAACAGTCCTAGGAAGCTTATTAGTGCATCCATTGTAAAGCCATTATTGAGGATATCTTTTATGACTCTTATTATCTCATGTATGATGACCCATGCAACCTTGATTGCCATGGAAAGATTTATTTTTCCTGAGTTCATCTGTACGGAGAACGAGAATCCTATAACTCACTTTTTAATCAGGAAACTCATAGCTGTGTAGAATCCTAAAGAATTCTTACCCTTGCATGATTGCATTCTAATTTTCTCAGGTACTTGATTTTCCCTTTAATCTGTTTTTTGATCCTGATTTTTATGAATTTATATCTTTCCATCTTACTGCATATGTTTGTAACATATTGTGTAACTGTCTCAACTTATTTGGTATGGCAGAGTGAGTTTGTAAATGAATACTCTATTTCACCAAACTGCAAATGTTCAAAAATCATCATTGGTTTTTCATTCATATTCATAGTCATATTTTCTCTCTTGGTGTGAAATTTTAATACCACAAAAAGTCCCCCTAATATCATACTGAGAACCTTTGTCCCGTCATCTGGATTTTAACATCTGTAACATTTTGCCATATTTGCTTCAGGTCTTGATTTTTAATATAAATTTAAAAAATAGATAAAGCTGAAAATCCCATTTGACTGCCCTAGGCCCAACTGGACCAATTTTTTACCCTCTATTAAGACTGTCTACCCTATGCTCCAAAATATATTTACTGAATATTTGTTAATGAATGATTTGAATTGATGAGTTGTGGCTGTTTGTCTGTAGTAGATTAACCTGTCTGTCAAAAATAGAAATCAGCATCTTAGGCATCTTCTCTGAGAACCCTGTGTCTTTTTTAGTGAGTCTAATGACTGATACAGTAAGGTGTCCGTCCCTGTCCATTGAATCAGTGAAGTGAATCTAATTAAAAAGAATCAACAATTGAGAAACTACTGTAGTAGTCTGGGTGTGAGATTAAGGTGGTAGCTTGGAGAGGATAGAAATGCCAGAGGTCCTGGACAGTTCTCCACAGGGGAAAGTAAGGGCAGGAGGCAGGTCCCAATGCTACTTAATTGTGCAGTGTGTGCTGGTCCACAGTGAGATGCCCCTTCCATCTTAAAAGATGATAAACCTGAGTTCTCAGAGGCTAAAGCCCATGGTTACTCAAGAGTTAAGTGGCAGGGCCTGAATTCAAGCACTGTCTGTATGATTCTAAGAAAGTACCTCTTTCTGCTAATTTGTACAGACTGAAGAACCGCCTTCCCATCCCTCTAAGCCTGTGTGATTTCTCCCCACTTTTCTGATTGGTGTCAGTGGATTGAATTTCAGGTAGCTTCTGAATTAAGCAAAGGTGTCTCTTTGCAGGGAGCTTTACTAAGTGGTCCAAAGCTTAAAGATTTGGTAGTTGAAGATACAGATTAGGGAGTGTTTAATATGAAGGTAATTACTGAAAC